AAATTCTCAATCTTACTCTAATCCAAATCAAGTGCCTCCTAAGAGTCCCGTTTTTGAGGATAAGGTCTTGCAAGCCTTAGGTGATCTTCGAAAATATAATCAATTATTTCATTCTCACTCTCAATCAATTGCAAAGCTTGAAGCTCAAATCAGGCAATTAGCTAATTCTTTAAATGTGAGAGAGAAAGGTAAGTTGCCTAGTCAAACTAAGACCAATCCTGAGGGGCAATTTATAGCCCAAGCAAGTCCTTCATCGGAATTTTCTAGAAATGAGCAAGTTCAAGCAATTACTACCTTAAGGAGTGGTAGGAAAGTGGATAATAAGGTAGAGGTACCTAAGGAGGATAGTGAATTGACACAACCTAGTGGTTGCATCCATCCCATTCAAAATCATATTCTTACTCCCTTGGATGCTAGTGGTTCCAAAAAAGACATTCTATCATCTTCATTATCATCTCCCCAATTAGAGAAGCCTTATGAGCCAAAAGCTCCATTTCCTCAAGCTTTGAGAGAGACTTCATTATTTGGGAGACAAAAAGGAAAAATTCATGACATGATGGAAGTGTTTAAACAAGTGAAAATTAATCTTTCTCTTCTAGATGCAATTAGGCAAATTCCACCATATGCAAAGTTCTTGAAGGACTTGTGCACATAAAAGAGGAAGAGTAAGGGAAGAGACCTTAAGAAAGTGCTTTTAACGGAACAAGTGAGTTCCATCATTCTGTCTAACACTCCTCCTAAGTTCAAGGATCCGAGTGCTTCGACCATTTCTTGTGTTATTAGAAACCAAGAGATTCGTAGAGCTCTCCTTGATTTAGCTGCAAGTATCAATCTCATTCCAAACTCTGTTTACTTGCAATTAGGATTAGGGGACTTGAAGCCAACATCAGTAGTAATCCAACTAGCCGACAGATCAATTAAGAAACCGAGGGGAATTGTTGAGGACATCTTGATTAAGGTTGATAAATTTTATTTTTCGGTTGATTTTGTGGTGCTTGATACTGTGCCAGTCCCTAATCTTACCAATCACATTCCAGCTATCTTAGGAAGACCATTTCTTGCCACTACCAATGCCACCATTAATTGTAGATCCGGCATTATGGACATCTCTTTTGGCAACATGATGGTTAAGCTTAATGTTTTCAATGCGAGTCAACATTCCACAGATGAAGACGAGTGTTTCCTAGTGGACATTTTGGATGAAACCATACAGGAGACTCTTCTCTCTATTCTATCTAAGGACCCTCTTGAGGCGTGCCTTTGTAAAATGTTTGAAAGTTGTGGTTTTGATACAGAAGGATCTATAAGTTAGGTGAATGCTTTAATGGACTCTGTGGCCACTTTGGATTTCCCACCTTGGAAAAGCAAGAAAGAACCTCTTCCTTCACTCTCCAGTACTCCACTGGTTCCTTCTCTCATCTCCTCCTACTCTTGAGCTTAAGCCTCTTCCATCTAATCTCAAATACGCCTTCTTAGGCCCAAAAGAGACTCTTCTGGTCATCATTGCTTCAAATCTTGAAAATAACCAAGAGAATGATCTTTTGGAAGTACTTAAAGTTAACAAAGAAGCCATTGGACGGAATGTGGCTGACCTAAAAGGCATTGACCCTTCTATTTGTATGCATCGCATATACATGGAAGAGGATGAAAGGCCATTTAGGGATACTCATAGAAGCCATTTAGGGATACTCATAGAAGATTGAACCCAAATATGAAGGAAGTTGTCATGAAGGAGGTTGTGAAACTTTTAGATGCGGGAATCATTTATCCTATCTCTGATTCCAAGTGGGTTAGTCCAACTCAAGTGGTTCCTGAAAAGTCGAGAGTCACAGTTGTTGAAAATGCTAAGGGTGATTTCATTTCAAAACGCACCGCCACTTTGTGGCGTGTTTGCATAGATTACCGAAAGCTGAATTCCGCCATTAGGAAGGACCATTTTCCATTACCTTTCATTGACCAAATCTCGGAACGATTGGTCGGGCAACAATATTATTGCTTCCTAGATGGTTACTCAGGGTACAATCAAGTGACCCTAGATCATTGGATCAAGAAAAGACCATATTCACATGTCCTTTCGGTACATTTGCTTATCAACAGATGCCTTTCGAATTGTGTAATGCTCCTGCCACTTTTCAAAGGTGTATAATGTCAATTTTGGACATGGTGGAGAAGTATTTAAAAGTCTTCATGGATGATTTCTCAGTTTTTGGGTCCTCATTTGATTCATGTCTCCAAAATCTCAACAAAGTGCTTCAAAGATGTCGTGAGACTAATCTTGTGTTAAGTCGGGAAAAGAGCCACTTCATGGTTCAAGAAGGAATCGTGCTTGGACATGTCATCTCTAAAAAAGGAATAGAAGTAGATAGAGCGAAAGTTGAGCTAATTTCCGAATTATCACCACCTACTACAGTGAAAGAAATCCGCTCCTTTCTAGGATATGCCGATTTTTATTGCCGGTTCATCAAAGACTTTAGCAAAATTTCTAGATCTTTGTGAAACCTTCTTGCCAAGAAGACTCCATTTGTCTTTGATGAAGCACGCCTAAATGCTTTTCATCAATTTCGCACTCTTCTATCATCCACTCCCATCATGCAACCTCCAAATTGGTCCTTACCATTTTAGATTAAACGTGATGCTTTCGACTTCGCCATAGGTGCTGTTTTGGGGCAAAGGGTAGGAAGTTACCGTGTGCTATATACTATGCAAGTAAGACTTTTTCAGGTGCCCAATTAAACTATTCTACCACCGAGAAAGAATTATTTGCCGTAGTATATGCCCTTGATAAATTTCGGTCATATCTCTTAAGATCCAAGGTAATTATGTTTTCCGATCATGTTGCTCTTAGGCATCTTTTAATGAAAAAGGAAACCAAACCTCGCTTGATAAGATGGATCCTACTTCTTTAAGAATTTGACTTTGTAATCAATGACAAAAAGGGCTCCGACAATGTCGTTGCCAATCATCTGTCTAGATTAATGGTTGAATCTTCTCCAAATCTTGAAATTCATGAATCATTTCTGGATGAACAACTCTTTCAAATCTCAAATGGGACGTTGCCTTGGTTTGCCGACATTGTTAACTATCTTGCAACCGGCAAACTTCCCATTAATTGGTCAAAATAAGAAAAGGACCGATTTTTTTCTAACATCCGGAAATACTATTGGAAAGATCCCATTCTGTTTCGTTATTGCCCAGATCAAATCATAAGGAGATGTGCGCCGGAAAGTGAAGTTCTGAGTATCCTTGTGTTTTGTCACACACTTGCTTGTGATGGGCATTTTAGTGAAAAAAAGACCGCTTTGAAGGTTCTTCAAAGTAGGCTCTTCTGGCCCACTATCCACCGAGATACCTATAACTTTTGCAAGGTATGTGTTCGGTGTCAAAAGTTGGGATCAATGTCAAAGAGAGACATGATGCCCTTAACTTCAGTCTTTGTGGTTGAAATCTTCGATGTATTGGGTATAGATTCTATGGGACCATTCCCAATGTCTTATAGTTTTCAATACATTCTCATTGCCGTTGATTATATATCAAAGTGGGTTGAGGCTTATGCTACCAAAATGAATTACCACTCCGTGGTAATTGTATTCGTCAAATCAAATATTTTTGCTCGTTTTGGTATGCCAAGGGCTATGATAACTGATGGAGGAAAACATTTCTGCAATCAATTCTTGAAGAAACTCTTTTTGAAATACTTTGGCACACATAAAGTGGCCACTCCCTACCATCCCCAAACAAGTGGGCAAGTCTAGGTATCTAATAGGGAAATCAAGCATATTCTTGAGAAAACTGTCAATCCGACCCGAAAAGATTGGTCAAGGAAATTAAATGATGCTTTGTGGGCTTATCAAACAGCTTACAAGACTCCAATAGGCATGTCTTCATATAGACTTGTTTATGGGAAGCCTTGACATCTTTCGGTTGAGCTAGAACACAAAGCACTTTGGGCAATAAAAAGGCTCAACTTTGATCTTGATAAGGCTAGAAAGGACCGTTTGCTCCAACTCAATGAGCTAGAGGAATTGAGAAATGATGTCTATGATAGCTCAAAAATCTACAAGGCAAGGAAAATAGCATTTCATGATAAACATATTGTGAAAAAGTCTTTTAAGGCTGGTCAAAAGGCTTGGTTATTCAACTCTAGGCTCAAATTTTTCCATGGAAAGCTTCAAACCAAATGGGAAGGCCCTTATCTAATCATTTCCGTCTCACCTCATAGGGCAATTGAACTTAAAAATCTAAAAGATGAAGGGACCTTCAAAGTTAATGGTCAAAAGCTTAAACCATACATTGATGGATAAGCCCTTCAAAGAAATGTGGAATCCATTCCCTTGGTGGATCCCATTTACTTTGAAGATCAAGAGCATTTCACGTTTTTCTAGGGACGTTAAACACTAGTTGTATCAAGTTTCTCCTTCGTTGCATGTTAATTACTTTTTATTATTATTATTATTATTTTCTTTTTCTTTTTTTCTTTTTCCTTTTGTACATTTATGCATTTTTAAATTTAAAAAGAAAAAAAAAATAACAAATAAAAAAATTGTAATGGGTGGTGTCGGTTGGGGTTTGATTTTATTTCAATTTATTATTATTATTATTACTATTATTATTATAATTTTTATATATATTTCATTTTAGTGTATGTATATTCTTTTTAGTTTTGCTTTATTAAATATATATATATATATATATATATATATATATATATATATAAATAACAAAATAAAAAATTGTAATGGGTAGTATAGGTTGGTATTTGATTTTATTTTTATTAATTATTATTTTTATATATATTTTATTTTTGTATATATATTTGTTTCTAGTTTTGTGTTAAAAAATAAATAAATAAATAAAAATAAAAATCAATCCCATTCTTTGGCAGAGACCAAAAAAAAAAAAAAAAAACCAACTGGATTAATTCCCCAACCATGTGGATCGATCCCTTTTTACCTGTGCCTTCACTTTCTCATTACACACTAAAGGGGCCATTTTTTTTTTTTTTTTTTTTTTTTTAAATATCAATCCCTCGCTAAAAGAGATCGAGCGCCCCTTCTCTCTCGCCTCCATTCACTACCCACTTTCCATCCTCAAATCAATTAATCTTCTCCTCCCTGCAAATCTCTTCACCCAAAATCTCCAATCTCCAATCTCAATTCCTTCATCCGTCCTCACCAATTCTTCTCCTTCCCTGCGAAACCCTTCACCCACCTCCAATCCCAATTTCTTGGTTCGCTCTTCTCTTCCGCAATGTTGAAGGCGTGAAATTCCAGCGCCATAGTTCTCGGTTCTTCCTCCGACCACGGTTTGAGACTCGGTCTTTGCTTCACTTCAACAGCGGCGCCTTTTAAAACGCTGTAAAGGGCGCCCTTTTCTTCACCCTTCCCTTTACCATGGGTCGCGGGTAATCTCACTCTTCCCTCATCACCCTTCACCTCTCATCTCTCAACACTGAGCACCACACTACCATCACCAGCTCCGGCCGAATCAAAACCACCCCAACCTCAGGCCGCCGTTTCTGAATTTTCAGGCGCAATTTACAGTCACCGAGTTCTCTATTTTCGGCAATCTCTTGGCCAAAAGGCCGAGCTATTCTTTCTCAGTCTCAGGTCTCTCTCATTTATCGTCGCAGCTGGGTTCTTCTCTGATCGCGGCTGGTTTTTTCCTTCCGGCGATTTTGATTTGGTTGCGGGTCCGTCCGGCGAGTTGTGAATCGCCGTTTTCTCCAGTGATTTTGATTTGGTTTTCTCCAGCGATCGTGGCTGGTCTTTCCGCGGATCGTGGCTGGGTTCTCCGGCGATTTTGGCTTCGCCTTTCTCCTTTGCCTGCGGTTAATTGTTTCGGCGAGTTTGTGAGTTGTTAATTGAGTTCCAGATTCCACTGTCAAAAGCCTCCAACTTCATACAACATCATCTTAGGACTTCATGGGGTTCACTGATGCCGTGAAACGAAATCCCATGGTCGAAAGTGATGTAATTGTTTGGTTGATTTGCAGATTTTGCACTAGAGTTGTTAAATATATATATATATACAATAAAAAAATAAAATAAAAAATAAAATAAATTTTAAAAAAAATAACCAATTCAGTAGAATTTGTAATAGATTTTGCAGTAAGGTTTTTATTTATTTATTTATTTATTTTAAAAAATAATTTTTTTTTTTCAATGTAGTATTCTGTCTTACTAGAGACGTTCAATTTAGCCTATTTTTTATTTTGTAGCTTGTATATACATGTTCTTTTTCTTCATTTTTTTTTTTAAAAAAAAAAACACGCAAATATATATATATATATAAATTAAAAAAAAAAAACCAAAAAAAATATTAAAAAATATATGTTACCGATATGCCTTTATGCTTGGTTATGCATGTTTTAATTTTTTATAGAGGGTTTCATCTCATATCTCTTTGTATCGTGTTATATATTATTTTGAACTGTATGCATTACTTATCGCATGTGATATTTGATGTGAGTTTATTAGTATGGTTATACAGTTAGGTTTTTGCATCCAAGTTTGGGGGAAACATCTTTCCTATTGGATCATTTCCGGACTTCATAATCTTTGCCATCACGGTATACTCTTTCTATCATTTTTCGTTGTTGTCATTGCATATTGAGGATAATATACAATTTAAGTTTAGGGGTAAGGTCATCATGATTCATTCTATTTTAAATTGAGTTTTAAATGCATGATGAGATTTAAGATATGTTTGGTAATGATTTCGAACTTTTGAAGCATAATGCTTTTAAAAAGCAAGTTGTTAGAGTCTAATACTTTTGCATGCTCTAGGATGCCATTTAGGGGTAAATTTTAATTTTTGACATCATGTTTGCTTTTGTGGTACACATCATCTTGTTGGTTGAAAATGCTTTGAGAGTTGATTCTACAATTCTACACTTGCACTTATGCACACTAACATTCAATTTATAAGGTACATGTTTAGTTGATTAATGTTTTGTTTTATCCCAATTGAGCTAATATGCTTTGAAAACTTTCATTCTTGATAAAATGACCTTGTAAATAAAAGAAATAAAAGCGTTCACCAAAGGTGAGCAAAATTACTCGCCAAAGGTGAGAAATAGAAATAGAAATGGGAACAAAAAAAATAAAAAAATAAAAAATAAATAAAAAGAAAAGCATTCACCAAAAGAAAAAGAAAAAAAAAAATGAAATCAATTTTTTTAAAAAAAATGTTTGATTGAATAACAAGATTCATTCAATTTCTTGATATCTGGTACTATATCTGTATGTTAGTTTGAGGGTAAAGTTATGTCATTATTTTGATTTGCTATGATAGCAACACATTTTGATTCCGGTTCACTCAAAAAGAATGATAGAATTGATTCAATTTGTATTATTAATTGCTTGATGTGTGGAGAACCATTCTTGCTTATATGATGTTGAAATGTTAAGAATAGCTTAGAAATGATAGAAATTTGCATACTTGAAGTAGTCTACTTTCAACACTTGTTTGATATATGTCCTTGATTCTCAAGTAAAAAAGAGTTGTTGATGTTTATAGGTACCATTCCTGGAAACCCTCACGAGACTTCACTCGTCCACTAGAGGTTTAAAAGGCTTGTTGCATATGCTAAATGCAACCATAATCCCTACGAAAGTGGTGTTATCTTTATTTGCTTTATTAGTTCACAGGTGTATATATGTTTGTTTCATTTTCATACTGTAGTTCATTGCTAGGGACTAGCAATATCTAAGTTTGAGAGCGTGATAAGTGCTTAAATGTTGCACATTTCAGCACCTAAATTAAGGTATTTTAGTCCTTGCATTTATCTTATTTTCATGTTTTCGTTCTAATTTACGTTTTTGTCAATTTTAGGTCAATAAGGTTCAAACGGACTAATTTTGGTTCACTAAAGCCTTTTTGGAGTCAAGCAAAGATATTCAGAAAAAGTTCAGAAAATGACAAAAAGAGGTCGCAGCCCATTGCTCATATAGTGTGTTTATTCTTCAAAAGCGGTCAATTCTACTTTTCTCGGGCCTTTGATGATGTTCCCAATGATGAAGAAACAAACCAATTAGCTTGGGGCCAAAATGAAGCTACATAAGGTGTAAATGGAAATTCCAACTCTGGGGGATCGATCCCCAGAGTGGGGGATTGATCCCCACTATTCACAGAACTAAAAATGCTCTTGGGAGATCGATCCCCCAGCACCTGGCAGCATTGCGGGATTGATTTTTAATTGGCTACGGGATTTTCTTGTTTTGGGTTATTTTGTAACTTATTGGTCTCCAATAAGGTTTATTTAAGGAAACCAATACCCATTAGTTTTGGTGGAGTTTTTATTTTTATTTTTATTAAGTTTTATTTTCGATATATCGATGTTCTATCTGAAAAATGCGAAGGAGGAGAAACGAAGAACAAGCTAGGGTTTAGAAGAAAAAGCTCAAAGATGATGAATCCAATGATGGAGATTATTCTGTCTTCAACTCCATCAACCATGAGTAGCTGATTCTTCTACTTAGGGTTGGATATACCCTAAGCATGTAACCTATTCTCTCTATCTTTTCATACTTTTTGGGGATTTAGCATATAATTATTGTATAGGCTTGAAATATATGAATCAATTCTTCCAATTGTTTATTTGTATTAATCATATGTTGTCTTATGTGTGGTTGATGAATAAACAAGCTTTACACTTGAATTCTTTGTAAATTTGTTCTTGTGATGTCTGTACATGTGGCTAATCAGTTGTATTTGTATTCCAATTTGATGGATATTGCTTTTACTAGATGGATGGTACTACACAATTAGGTTAACTCAGTGTTTAATTAGTTTAATTTCATGCTTAGTTAGTTTAATTTAAATTTAAGAAGTTTAATTGCACTTGGTTCCTAGGTAAGTAGACCATCCATGCCTGTGTTTGAATTCCATGCTTATTGTCACAAATACATTATCCTCTAGATTAAAGTAGGCTAGAATTGTAACTTGAATTGATGGACCATTCTTTGGATAGGTGAATTCCACTACACTTAGCTTATTTGTCATTAGATAGGCAATTTAAGCTTGAAATTGATGCTTCATACTTTTCTTTGCAAGTATTAGCTACATTAGAATTACATTTAATTATTTCCCCAATTAGTTGAAAGTGCGTGAGTTAGGGAATTTGCTTAGTGGTGAATTCTACACCCTAAGTCTTTTTCCTAATCTTTAAACTCTATTATTTTATTACAATCATTTAGATTAAAATTAATTTTAATCACAAAACAAAAACTATTTTTAGCAATCAAATAGGTACTAAAGTAAAATTCAATTCCAAAAATCAATATTGTTTAGATCTCTTAGGACGATCTCTGCTCGCTCATACTCCATAGTATAAGTGTTTAGTTGTTTTATTAATTTTAAAATAAGGTGCCCACTTGACATTATTTCAAAACCTTAAGTGTTGTGCATTATTTCGTGTACACGCTCGGTCGCATCATAATTTTGGCGCCGTTGCCGGGGATCTAACGGTTTTAAAGAATTGAATTAGACATTAGTTCTTTGTTGATTGTTTACTTTAAAGACATTTTAATTTTTACTTTCTCAATTGATTTGTCAATTAGGTACTTGAAACAAAGTGGAGCAAACGCTGGATTTAGAAGCAATTAAAAAATTTTGAAGTTGCTTAAGGACCATTTGTAAGTTTCTCTTTAATTTTTGTGCTTAACTGTTTACTGTCTTACATGCTTTGGACAGCCGAATTGGAGGCTTAATTTGAATTGTTTTTTTTTTAAGTCCAAGCATACCTTTTTGTAGAAGGCATCGGCCCGTGTGAAGGCATTTATTTGTTTTAAGTGCATTGATATTATTGAGAAGTTTAGGAACATCGTATGGGGAGGTTGAAAAATTGAAGTGTTGATGTGTTGACTTATTCTAGTGGATGCATGGTCGTAGATCTTAATCGTCCTCTTGCTCCTGTAAATCAAAATTTCGAAGTTTCCTTTGGCGTTTAAGAGGTAGGACTAGGGATAGTTATCCCAATCTTCCAACTTTTGATCTTTCATCACTTTTAATGGAAGACCCAATAAATCGAATTGTAGATCCCATTGAAGATCTTGGTCATGTGGATCATAATGGTGTGCACCACCTACCACAAGTTCATATTGTGGATCCTTAAGGTGTGCATCCACACTTGGGAATGCCACGACCAATCAATCCTATTGTACAACAACCTAATCTAGGGATGCCAAGGCCAAATGTTGTTCCCCCAATTGGTGAGCGACAACAACAATATGTTCAAATGGCATACCCTCAACAAGGTTAAATGGCATACCATCATCAAGGTCAAATACCATAGCCTCCTCTCAATCCTCTAATGGTCCTTAGGGATCGTTACACTCCAAATCAATATAATGCACCCACTTGCATTCAATTGCCAAATTTTCGTGCTCATCATTATGAGATTAAGGCTTCCACCATTAACATGTGCCCCCTTTTCTCTTGGTTGAGCAACGAAGAGCCTTATAAACATTTAGATGAGTTCTTGGAAGTCTGTTCCACTGTGAAAATCACGGATGTTCCGGAAGAAGCCCTAAAAATGAAGCTTTTCCCTTTCACTCTTCGGGATAAAGCTAAATATTGGTTTAACAACTTGCGGTCAAATACAATCACCTCTTGGGCACAATTGCAACAGGAGTTCCTAAAAAAGTACTATCCCGTGATTCGAACTGATTCAATGAGAACTTCCATTCGTGAATTTAAATAAGAAGAAGGAGAACCCCTTCATGAAGCATGGGAACGTTTGAATGACTTACTATGGAAGTATCCACATCATGACATTCCTAAGTGGCAATTAGTTCAATGTTTCTTTTCAAGTTTATCCGATGCTAATAAGGGCATTGTTGATGCTTCCTGTGGCGGCAGCTATATTGAAAAAATGAAGATGAAATTTGGCATCTTTTCGAAAAAATGAGTGAAAATTCAATGCATAGATCTTCATCTTCTAGGGGTGGTCAGTTAGCAAATGTGGGAGGAAAGAAAGCTCTAAATTAAATAGACTCTTCCATGGAAATTGCCGCCGAAGTTAAAAATGTTACTCAAAGGTTTGATACTTTCCTTTTGAATCAAGGACCGGCAATTCAATCTTATCCTCATCAGTCCGGTGAAATCTGTATGACTTGTTCTAGTTACACTCACCATACTTCAAATTGCCCTCTTAGACAAATCATACCAAGTGAGTCTCAAGAACAAGCAAATGCCACTTTTATTCATCAAGGGAACAACCCTTATTCCAATACTTACAATCCGGGGTGGAAAAATCATCCAAACTTTGCATAGAGAAATCAAGGAGACGGTGCAAACCCTCCTCAAACTCAAGGTTACCAAGCAAAGTATGTTCCCCCATATCTCCAAAATCAAAATCAGAATTCTCAAGGTTATCGTCCTTCATTCTATCCTCACAATGTAAATCAATACTCTCATCCTCAAACATCAAATTCTCAATACTCTCATCCTTAAGCATTAAATTCTCAATCCTACTCTAATCCAAATCAAGCGCCTCTTAAGAGTCCCGCTTTTGAGGACAAGGTCTTGCAAGCCTTAGGTGATCTTCAAAAAGATAATCAATTGTTTAATTCTCACTCTCAATCAATTACAAAGCTTGAAGCTCAAATCGGGCAATTAGCTAATTCTTTAAATGTGAGAGAGAAAGGTAAGTTGCCTAGTCAAACTAAGACCAATCCTAAGGGGCAATTTATGGCGCAAGCAAGTCCTTCATCGGAATTTTTTGGAAATAAGCAAGTTCAAGCAATTATTGCCTTGAGGAGTGGTAGGAAAGTGGATAATAAGGTAGAGGTACCTAAGGAGGATAATGAATTGACACAACCTAGTGGTTGCATCCATCCCATTCAAAATCATATTCTTACTCCCTTGAATGCTAATGGTTCCAAAAAGAACATTCCATCATCTCCCCAATTAGAGAAGCCTTATGAGCCGAAAGCTCAATTTCCTCAAGCTTTGAGAGAGACTTCATTATTTGGGAGACAAGAAGGAAAAATTCATGACATGATGGAAGTGTTTAAAGAAGTGAAAATTAATCTTTCTCTTCTAGATGCAATTAGGCAAATTTCACTATATGCGAAGTTCTTGAAGGACTTGTGCGCACAAAAGAGGAAGAGTAAGGGAAGAGACCTTAAGAAAGTGTTTTTAACGGAACAAGTGAGTTCCATCATTCTGTCTAACACTCCTCCCAAGTTCAAGGATCCAAGTGCTTCGACCATTTCTTGTGTTATTGGAAACCAAGAGATTCATAGAGCTCTCCTTGATTTAGGTACAAGTATCAATCTCATTCCATACTCTGTTTACTTGAAATTAGGATTAGGGGACTTAAAGCCAACATCGGTAGTAATCCAACTAGCCAACAGATCAATTAAGAAACCGAGGGGAATTGTTGAGGACATCTTGATTAAGGTTGATAAATTTTATTTTTCGATTGATTTTGTGATACTTGATACTGAGCCAGTCCCTAATCTTACCAATCACATTTTAGTTATCCTAAGAAGACCATTTCTTGCCACTACCAATGCCACCATTAATTATAGATCCGACATTATGGACATCTCTTTTGGCAACATGATAGTTAAGCTTAATGTTTTCAATGCGAGTCAACATCCCACAGATGAAGACAAGTGTTTCCTAGTGGATATTAGGGATAAAACTATAGAGGAGACTCTTCCCTCTATTCTATCTAAGGACCCTCTTGAGGCGTGCCTTTGTGAAATGTTTGAAAGTTGTGGTTTTGACACAGAAGGATCCATAAGTGAGGTGAATGCTTTGATGGACTCTGTGGCCACTTTGGATTTCCCACCTTGGAAAAGCAAGAAAGAACCTCTTCCTTCATTCTCTAGTACTCTACTGGTTCCTTTTCTCATCTCACCTCCTACTCTTGAGCTTAAGCCTCTTCCATCCAATCTCAAATACGCCTTCTTTAGCCCAAAAGAGACTCTTCCAGTCATCATTGCTTCAAATCTTGAAAATAACCAAGAGAATGATCTTTTGGAAGTGCTTAAAGTTAACCAAGAAACCATTGGATGGAGTGTGGCTGACCTAAAAGGCATTGACCCTTCTATTTGTATGCATCGCATACACATGGAAGAGGATGAAAGGCCATTTAAGGATACTCAAAGGAGATTGAACCCAAATATGAAGGAAGTTGTCATGAAGGAGGTTGTGAAACTTTTAGATACGGAATCATTTATCCTATCTCTGATTCCAAGTGGGTTAGTCCAACTCAAGTGGTTCATAAAAAGTCGGGAATCACAGTTGTTGAAAATGTTAAGGGTGATCTCATTTCAAAACGCACTGCCACTTCGTGGCGTGTTTGCATAGATTACCAAAAGCTGAATTCCACCATTAGGAAGGACCATTTTCCGTTGCCTTTCATTGACCAAATCTTGGAAAGATTGGCCGGGCGACAATACTATTGCTTCCTAGATGGTTACTCGGGGTACAATCAAGTGGCCCTATATCCATTGGATCAAGAAAAGACCACCTTCACATGTCCTTTTGGTACATTTGCTTATCGACGGATGCC